GGCCACTGACAACACACTGTAGGTTGGAGTACCACCGTCCCTTGCTTCAACCCGGAGGACATTGTCGCGAATATCCGTCGTCTCATGGACGGACAGGAGCAGGTGCCTATGCTCCCCTGGTGGCGCGGCTTCACAGGCACGATCAAGAAGACGGGCGACAACAAGTACGACGTGATGGGCGTGGTCAACAAGATCGACGACACGACGGTCGAGATCACCGAGCTCCCCATTCACAAGTGGACACAGAACTTCAAGGCTGACCTTGAGGCGATGTGTGGTGAGAAGGGTGATGGTCCTGTAAAGGTAAGCTCTGGCGACGTCCAGTATCCAGCGCAAAGCTTATCGTCGCTTCGCACATCCACAGGACTACAAAGAGTACCACAACAACATGAACGTCCACTTCGTCATCACGATGACGGAGAAGGGCATGGAGCAGGCGGAGAAGCAGGGCTTCCACGAGTTCTTCAAGCTGACAACCAAGATCAACACCGGCAACATGGTGTGCTTCGACTTTGAAGGCAAGATCAAGAAGTACAACTCGGCGGAGGAGATCATCGAGGACTTCTACCCGAAGCGTCTGGCGTACTACCAGAAGCGCAAGGTATGCTCGCCTTCCTATATGCTTGCCCTTCATCCGAACATGACGCTGACGGTACGCACAGGATTTCTTGGCGAATGAGCTTCAGACGCAGCTGGACCGCCTGAACAACCAGGCTCGCTTCGTGAAGATGATCGTCGACAAGGAGCTGGTCGTCTCCAACAGGAAGAAGGCAGACATCGTCGCCGAACTTCGCAAGAAGCAGTTCCGGCCCTTCCCCAAGGTCGCTAAGGCTAAGGTCCATGGCGAGACCGAGGATGTCGTCGAGGATGAGGAGGGAAGCGACTTCGAGGGCAACGTCACCGACTACGACTACCTCTTGGGCATGGCCATCTGGAGCTTGACGAAGGAGAAGGTCAGTCGTTTCACGCTATGTCCTGCACACAACGGACGCTGATACTCCATTTCGTACAGATCGACAAGCTGCTCCAGCAAGCCAAGGAGAAGGAGGTCGAGCTGCTCACCCTTCTTGAGCTCACTCCCATCCAGATCTGGCAGACGGACCTTGACGCGTTCCTCGAGCAGTGGAAGGTGAGTACTCTGCGGCAACTCCATAGACTGTGGCTGACTTGAAGTCACGCAGAAAACGTGCCAGGACTGGGAGGACAAGCTCTGCGCTGCAGAGGCGGAGACCACCGGCAAGAAGGGCAAGAAGAAGCAGGCCAAGCTCCCTTTCAAGGAGCCCAAGAAGCCGAAGCCGGACGACGATGACGAGGACTTCAAACCAGGAAAAGCCACGGCGAAGTCGAAGAAGGCCTCCGAGACCGCCAAGAAGCCCCCGTCTGCCGTTCCATCTGGCTCAAATGTGGTCATCAAGGACGATGACGACGACGATTCTGTCCCTCCGCCACCTCCTAAGAAGCGTGCTGGTCCAGCGAAGAAGGCAGCTCCGAAGGTCGAGCCTGATTCGGACATCGAGATGGTCGACGCTCCTCCACCCAAGCCTACAGCCAGGACGAAGGCGGTCACGAAGATAGAGTCCGACTCCGAGTTCGAGACTCCACCGTCGTCTAAGGACAAGGGCAAAGCCAAAGCCAAGACTGGTTCCGCCACGAAACGGAAGAGGTATGTCGCCGAGCGTCAAACTGGATGCCCTAGCTAACGTTGTTGCAGTCTGGACAAGGAAGATGACGACAGCGACGACATGTACATCAAGCCTGCGCCAAAGAAGAAAAAGGCTGAGGCCTCTCCACCCGACGATGACGACAGTATCATGGAGGTCTCAGCGCCGGCAAAGAAGAACGGCAAGCAGGCTGCAGTCACCGACTTCTTCGGCAAGTCAGCGCCAGCTGCTGCAGCGGCGAAGCCCACAGCGCGCAAAGCGTCGTCGAGCAATAAGCCAGCAGCTCCGGCGAAGAAACCTGCGAAGAAGGCGGTCGTGTCGGACGATGACTTCTCAGAGGACGAGGTGGTCCCTGCGCCGCCGAAGGCGCGAGCCGAGGCACTCAAGCGAGCGACGAGAGGCGTGGTTTCGAAGTATGTGGAGATCACGTCAGGGGACGAGGACGATCAGGGTTCAGACTTCGAAGACTTTGACTAGAGCGTTCGTTCGGTGATACCAGACTTTGTTGCTGCTTCCTCATCTCGACTATTGGTCTCGTTTGTATTGTTATTCGCCTCCGTGACGCCGCGTTCCAATGTGTATTCCCTCTGACATCCGTTGATATCCTTGCTCATCCAATCCATCCTGTTCCATATTCCATCCTCGTTCATCTACGTTCACTCTACTATGACAGGGCAACTCGAGGCCCGCTACAGCGGTGCAGCAATCAGTGAATGCTGGGTCCGCTCTCAATGCTAGCTCTCTAGGACTTGGACGGGGGCTTGAAGTCCTTGAGCCACGCCTTGACGAACGCGACCTCCTGCTCATGAATAGCCTGGATCTGCGGAGGCTCTGCACTGTGGTCCGCCAAGCCGTTCTCGTCGTAGTGGTGCACACCACCTAGCGCGCGCAAAGCCAAAACACATCAGTGCTGGTCTCATCACGGCGAGTCCGGGATGAGCTCACCGGGTATGAGCTTGAACGGCCGGAGAAGAGTGTCAGGACGCCAGTGCGCCGCAGGGCTGTGCGGTGTGTCGCCTCTCCAGGGATCATCTGATACGCCGGGTGAGTGTCAAAGATGGAGGAAGGACGGTGCTTTGAGACAAACGTACCTTCGCCGTCGATGATCGCGAGACGGTCGTACGCGATGTTGTAGCCGCCGAGCGAGTTCACCGCGGTGATGTTCGGCTCGGCGGGGACCTTGAAGTGTTCGCCGGGCGGGTAGGCCTGCGCGTGCCGGATGCATATCAGAGATGGTGGTACGAGATAAGGAGACGGGAGGACGTACGAGCTTGCAGATGAGCGAGGCGTAGTCCAGAGTCACAAGCTTGGAGATGATGCGCGGGATGGCCGGGTTCGGCGGAGGAGTCTAGGTGGGTCATGATGAGATCACAGTCGGAGGAGCAAAGTGCACAGAAGATATACCATGAAGAAGCCCCATTGCGTGCAGACTTGGAATTGCCAGAGACGCCACGTCTGAGACAGGTCCGTCGCGAGGTACGAGTCCTTTGCGGTGATGGTGCCGAAACACTGAACGCAGGTCAGTCGAAGAGTCCAGTGGCAACCTCCGTCTACTCACCTCGTCCTGAGTATTCGGAGGGCGGCAGCTCGCAACGTACGTCTACGTGACAATCAGGGACATTGCGCTCTCATAGGCACGGAGAGCGAGCCTACCCTGTTGATGTACTTCGCATAGTTGAACGTAGCATTGCTGACCGTGATGCCCTGTGCGGTATGGACGGTTGCCTTGTCCGGAGTACCTAGGGCCGCGCAAAATCGGGCAAAGGATGTGCTTCCGACAGCAGGGTCCCAGTTGTTCTCCTGCCATGCTCCAAGGGGATTCTAGACCAGAAGTCAGCCAGCCTTCTCTTCCTCGCATGGTCCGTCATGTACACACAGATAAGAGCGAAGCAAAGTCGGGGTCATAGGTGAGGTTCCCCAACCCGAAGACGGCCTTGATGGCGTGCCGCGTCTCCGCGTGCGGGCTCGTGATGAGCCTGTCGACCTCGTCGATGGTCTTCTCGACCTGCGCGATGCAGTCCGCCGGGGCGTACTGCCGGATGATGTCGAAGTAGCGCCAGTCGTCCAGCGTCGCGTGCGTCACGCCGCTGGAGGAGATCGCTGCGAAGACGAGGTCCGGGTACAGGACGCGCATGTGCGCGGCGCGCGCGCCGCCGTACGAACCCTGCGAGACATGTGGTGCGTGAGACGTTGCGCGGTCCGGCGGGGCTTCTTTCGCGCACTCACGCCGTAGTATATCCACGGCGTGCCGGGCGCCGTGAGATCGCCCGTTATGTTCGGGAAGGTGACGTTGTCGATGAAGTTCGCAGAGTCCGCGGCGGCTTGCTCGTTGTTGAGCCACCTGGAGCAGGATGCACACTTATCAGCCGTTGCCATGCGGTTATGCCAGCGTGCGAGGCACTGTACCTCAGCGAATCGGTGGTGAAGTTCTGCACGGGCACAGATTCCCCTGGAGAGGGCCGTAAGCAAGCGGGTCTTGTGACAGGAAATGACGCGCCATGCCATAATATCTGTGCTCGAGCACGATACCGAGCCCATTGGTGGCGTTGGCGAGGATGTCGACGATGCCGGTGTCGAGGATGGGCATGCGCTCGTCGCCGGGGCCTTCACCCGCCTCGAAGACGATGACTGGCCCGCCGGCCTTGTAGTGACGGTCGTTCAGCCAGTACCGCTGCTCGAACGTGAAGCCGGTGTCCGCGAAGTGGTCGAGAGGCTGGGTGAACGTGTAGACGGGGAACGTCGCGCTCTGGCGTTTTGCGACCGAGCGCGACTGCTGGGCCTGCGCTTCGAGCTTGACCCACTGCGGGTTCGTGGGCAGGTGGCGAGCCGCTGAACCACTGGAGTGGAGGAGGAGGAGGGCGAGCGCGCCCAAACCCGCGAGCCCCGACTTGAAGGAGGACATGGCGACGTCGAAGGGCGAGCGTCCGACGCGTCTGCGTGGTACTTATACACACTCCTCTCAGAAGCACGCTTCCGTTGATGTGTCTCGGAGGACGGGACTGATGGATGTTCAGACCAGATCAACGGGCCACATGAGAGCCGTATCTGCGGCATAGCGCGGGTGTCCGGGTGATCCAGCCAACTGAGCAGCGTTGCAGCCCTTTGCGGCTATGTCAAAGGTGTGCAGGCTCCCAGAAAGCAACATGGCGGTCTCGGCGGGTGTTGCCATGATATGTAGGTGTATACTGCATGAACGGTCGAGTGGGCCGTCTCGCGAGTCGCGACTGACCGGCCGGACGAGTCGAACCTCGAGTCGGAGAGAAGAGAAGGCTTCTCTAGTGCGTTGACGCCCTGGCACGTATGCACAGTATAAGACGGCGCAAGCGAGCGCCAAATGTGTGCCCCATGGCTGAGTTGGTTACAGCGTCCGACTGTTATTTCCTTGACAATAGACATCGGAAGGTCGTGAGTTCGAGCCTCACTGGGGCAGCAACGTTTTTGACTGTAGGAACTACGTCCCCGGTTGCACGCCAGCGTGTGCAATTCTGCACATGTCTCTCCCTCCATCAGTCTACGGCATTGGTTTCAAGAAAGCGCGTCGGCAAGGCTGGACTTGTGACGGAAGAGTCCAACACTATCTGCCCTTGGGGCAGATCAAGAGGCGGGCGAGATCTGAATCGCAGACACTGACCTCTTAGACGCCCGACTTCTTGCGAATCTCCCAGCGGCATAGCTCGTCCACATCGTCGATTGAGGCCTCCGGACCCCCCCAAAGGGGGTCTATTTTCGATGTCTACGAATCGTTCCGTGCAGGTTTCATAGCGAAAAACGCACTCAGTGGAAAGTTAGAGGGGGGTAAGATTATTTCCTTTTCTGGACGGCTTTGGAGTCGTCAAGTTCTTCCCTCTCGCCTCACCTCAAATCGCATCCGCTTAACTTCTGACCCCCCCCCCCTATATGTCTATGTCTACGAATCTAATGGTGCAAAAATCGTAGAGATTGGTGAGGAGGTGAGGGAGTTATGGCCCCATCAGTGCCAGATTGAGGTCAGTGTCAGGCGCTTGAATTCTGCCCGCCTCTTGATCTGCCCCGTGGCTGAGTTGGTCACAGCGTCCGACTGTTACATCGTGTAGCACTTGTTTCACCGTTAAGTTCGTCGATGGCATCGGAAGGTCGTGAGTTCGAGCCTCACCGGGGCAGCGTTATATAGCTTTTGTCAAGTTATCCTTGCCTTCATGCATCCCTCCAAGCTGGGGATTCATACAACAGCTGTACTCAATGACAGACACAATGCGTCGATACCCTATCGTCCCAGCGGGAAATTCCTTATTCCTGAATGCTGGGTGTAGGCACTACGACATTTACAGTACCGCTGGCGGACTGTGATCATACCTCTCCACAGTGTGTGTATGTAGTGCTCCCTTATAAACGTCTGCCTAGGGGAGACAACCACAGTGTGTGCGAGCACCGTACTTGGGTATGTCAATACAGGCACCCGTCACTCTATGGAGCTCTAGTCTCCGTTGCCGCCCCTTACAGATATAGATGACAGTCGATCTATTTTCTATAAAGATGGAGCTCAGCTCAGGCAGCCACAACATAGTCCTACAACAGTGTGTTACGCGTGTACGCTGAGTAGCCCAGATTGCATGTATGCAGCCATGTACAGCGAGGATCATGTTTGACTTTGAACTAGAGCCCCTAACTGCCCCGTGGCTGAGTTGGTTACAGCGTCCGACTGTTATATCGCGGCAAAGCTTGTCTTCCTGGTCAAGTCTAGTTGTGAAGTTCCATCGGAAGGTCGTGAGTTCGAGCCTCACCGGGGCAGATGTTAAGCTCTTGTCTAGTTCTTTTTGGTTGAGTGAGCCCCTTTATGTTTACCGTGATACACAAGGTCGCGGTCCCCCCATCGACCTTGAGTAGTATGGGGTGTACCCCTTGTGGTGTAGCAGCAGACGGAGGTCGATGTCCCATCAAAGCCAATAACTCATAAAACCTGACGCAGTGCTCAGCTGCGTACGCGCCAAAATAGGGGGAAGTGCTCTCCGTACCATGTCCTGATGATTCTTTCATATCTGTGTCTTTCTCGTCTCTCCACGCCGAAGGGGGGATGGCTGTAAGGGCAATGGAGGTGTCCGCCAGTAGTGCCTGTGCAAAGCCCATGACTACTACGATTGCCTAGTTCGGTCACGCACTACCGCGTAAACGCCCACCCGCAATTTCTGTGCTTGCCCGGCTCGTGCCTCCGACAACCTGTCCAGCACCCATCCCGGCCATGCTCGCTCTCCGCCGTCTGCCTCGCTTCACTCCTAGACTAGCGAGCGTACGGGCAAATGCAACTCTCGAGACCACTCCCCATACTCAGGCGGGTGCCCCCCCGCCTCCACCACCTCCCGCTTCGTCGGTGACAGCGCAGGCCAGCGCGGCCGAGGGCAAGCGGGCGGAGAACGGTTCCGCGGACGCGAGCGCAGAGGCGGGGTCTCAGCAGCAGGGTGGTGGAGGACGCCAGCAGCCGGTGCAAGGGCCGCGCGAGTGGTGTCGTCCGATCGCGAAGGGCGTAGAGCCCGCGTATGACTATGCGTTGCGCTATATCCTGAAGGACGCGGCGTTCATCCGGAAGGAGCTGGAGGCGCTGCGGGCAGAGCTTGCGGAGGCGGAGAGGAAGCCGGAGGGCGAGAGGGACGAGGCTGCGCTGCAGAGCATGCGCGAGCGGGTGGGCATCCTGGAGATTCAGAGCGAGGTGAACTTGCCGGACGTGAGGTGGAAGGCGAGGAATGGCATGGGTGAGCATTACTCCCCAGACAACTTGCTACGCTCTTTGGCTGAGTTGCGGGCAGCGGACATGAGCAAGCCGATCTACAGGCATTTGGTCGAGCAACGCTGGAGGGAAGAGGGCGACTTGGACTTGCTGGTATGTCGTGCACCTCCATTTGACCATGTCTCTCCTGAACAAACCCTCACCGGTCGTGTAGATGGAGCGTATCTATCAGATGAACGTCGTGCCGGACATGCTGCCCGCCCTGCATCCATCCTTCGACCTGCGCATCAAGTTCGCCGAGCCCCCTCCGAAGAGCAACTACTTGCGCACGCGTGTCAAGCGCGGTCTGAAGGAGGTCGAGCCTGGCATCTTCCTCTTCCCGGAGCAGGTATGGTGCCTCACTTGGTCGTGCCAGTAAACCTGTGTTGAACGCCTCGGCCCTTTTGGCAGACTCGGAGACCACCCGAACTTTCCATGACGCTGTTCCACACTGACACGCGTCTGTACACCTTGCTGATGGTCGACCTCGACGTACCGGATCCGGAGAGGCAGACCTTCACGTCGTACCTCCACTGGATGCAGTGAGTGTGTTCCGGTTCTCACACGTTTCACCCTCTCACCACTGCGTGATAGGCCGAACATCCCGTTGTCCGCATTCACGAGCACCCCGACCGTCCCCCTGAACACCCACACGCCCTACGTTCCCCCTCACCCGCAACGCGGCACGCCCTACCACCGCTACGTCTTGCTCATGCTTCCGCAGGCATCACCTACCGAGCCCATTGACATCCCGGTGTACGAGGAGGCGGATAGGCTCGGGTTCAACTTCCGTGCCTTTGCGGCCCAGTACGGGTTCGACGGCTCCCGTGGAGGCGGTGCGCACATGTGGCGTGAAGTGTGGGACGAGACGGTTCCGCAGATCTACCGGTACACGCTCAGTAAGTGTTTCTTGTCCGTTGTGTCAAGGGCTGTGCTAATGTGCGGCACTACAGAGAAGGAGGAGCCGCGGTTTGGCAAGCTGCCGAAGCCAGACCCGTACGCAGAGATCAAGCGGACCAAAAAGTACCTCTAGACGCGTCCAGCATAGCACAGACCCTATTACTTGTACTCATCTCCGTAATGCGACGTGCTCTCTGCTTTCCCCTGAGTCTCAGAACTGCCAGACTGTAATAGCCTTTTGTGCTGTGCGCTGATGCCGAGAAGACGAGATGACTGACAGTGCAGTCTGAGCGTAAGCGCTGCGGATGGAGGCCGCAGGCCGCGTCTCGGCTGTCTCGAGATCTGCAGTGAGGACCCCTGACATTTCACTGGGACGCCTGAGGCCTAATCCGGACAATTTTCGCGATTTTTCAGAGCCTATGCCTGAGGTAATCCGGCCAAATTAGGCCCTAAAAATCGCGAGGATTGATCCCATTTTCCGGACATTTGGGACAGCACCTGGCGGACGCCTGATCTGGAGGACCCAACGTCCGGACATTGAGGAGGGTCGGGCTGGTCGACCTTGAGATCAGCACCAATTTGGGGGCAGGACCGGGCGCTTATGGAATTTAGCGCCTGTTCACCTCATCCGTTCTCCGGACAAAATGGACGGCAAAGTGAGAATGCCTGATACAATCCGGACGATTTGGGCCCCCGGACAGGCCTGATCATCCTGACGGACAATCCGAGATTTCAGAATTTCGGATCAGGCCTCTCCAGTGGATTGCCAGGGGTCCTCTGCAGTGCCGCTTGGCGACGACCACAGCAATAATCATGCGTCCCCCTATAACCACCATCTCGACCTGCTCAGTCCTCCATCCTCTCCTTGCCGCAGCCCTGCGCGATGTCTGAGCTCTCTGTGGGCTCGCAGCTCACGCCAAATGTGCACGACTCTTCCCCGCTCGGGACCCTGATCCGCCGAACATCGTCAAGGCGCGCGCCGAACCACAGGCCATCCAACCTCGAGCTCCCAACCCTTCCGCGACCCTCAGGAAATGCGGCACCTGCTCCGCCCCACTCGCCCATCCTACATACACAATTCCGCTCCTCGACTGCGACAGCGTCGTCGTACTACGATGATGCGAGCATGCGCACCTTCTCCTGGGACGCCCGCTCCGGCATGGGCACCGTGCCGTCCTCGCCCTCGAGCACGCACACCTACCGCGGGCCGCCGCGCCAGTCCGAGCTGGGCCTCGAGGAGCAATACGCGCACGAGTCGGTGCGTTCGTCCAACTATGACATCGACAGCATAACCGCCAGGTACCGCGACACCTGGCGCTCGTCCGGCCTTGATCCGCCCTCGGTGTACGAGCCGCAGGAGGACGTGCCTGCGCTGCCCACGGTCGTGGTCTCGACTGCACCCGAGCCGCAAGAGCAGGTGTATGCCGTCCCAGGCCCGTCCAAGGGCGGCAGGGTCCCGTCGCGCGTCGCGAGCGGGAACGCGAATGTCAACTTCTCGAGGCCGGTGCTGCCCGCGGAGGACGAGGAGCGGAAGCGGGAGGTGCTCATGAGGAATGCGCGAAGCCCGCACTCGCCCTCGCCGATGAGTTCGCCCGCGCACTCCCCTGCGCCGAGCCCGCGATTGGGTCCAAGTCCGCTGGGCTCCCCGGCTGCACCAAACTCGCGCTCGGTGTCACCAGCGTCGCTTTCCGATAGGCAGCCCATGCCGTCGCCTTCCCTGTCGCCTTCTACACTACAAGCCCAGACTCCTACCGGCGTTCAGCCACCGCGGGTCACCTCGCAGATCAGTGTCTACTCAAATTACTCCTACTATGAGCTGCCGCCCACTCCGCCTGCTAATGCTCAACCACCATCTCCCGGACTGCCACCTCCCACGACGCCATCAACACCCGCAGGGCCGCCTGTCAGTCCAAATCCTGGCGGTCGACCGCGAACAAAGTCTTCGGCGGGACACTCCGCAAAGGCAGAACCAGTGAACCTAACAGATCCTAAGACGCCCCAAGACTACCTTCAGATCGGCATCCAGCATCATCTCGAGAACCGACTGGCGGAGTCTGCAGCTGCATTCGAGAAGGCTGCGACGCTCGATGGCGGGTGCGGTGTGGGCATGCTCATGTGGGGCTTGGCGCAGAGGCATGGCTGGGGTTGTGCGCAGAGCGAAGCTGCGGGGTTCAGGTGGCTGAGGAGGGCCGCTGAGCTTGCCGTGTCCGACTTGGAGAAGGGTCGGCAAGGCATGGACATGGGTGCAGTCAGGGTGAGTGCTTCGTGCAGCGCATGCGACAGTGTACCTTCGATGCTGATTGATCCTGGTAGTCGGAGCTCGTGCTCGCTATCTACGAGGTGGGACAGAGCTTCTACCGCGGTTGGGGCGTCGAGAAGGACAAAGAAATGGCTGTGGTCAGTGCCGCCCTTTCTGTGCCTGGCAACTGCCTGGCTGATTCACGCTGTGCGCTCACATCTCGTTCCGCAGCAATACTTCCGCGTCGCAGCGCGACTCGGCGACCCTGACGCGCAGCAGGAGCTCGCGTTCTGCCTCCTCAACGGCAAGGGCTGCAAGAAAGACAAGCGCGAGGCGGCGAAGTGGTACCGCGCGGCGGTACGTTTCAGTTCCTAACATCATTCCCTCACATCGTGAAAGCTGACGGGCCTGTTTGCTTGAACGTCGTAGGTTGCCCAGGGCGCAAGCGATATCGGGCTGGCTTGGATCTACAAGGACAAGTACCAATGACCGAAGGGCGTCACGTTCAGTCCCATCTCCTCTGCCCTCCCAAGCCGCGTCCTGCGTATACATACCCTGCTCTCTCTGATACCCTCCTGGTGCTTTCTCTTGTTCGTGGTTATGGCTGCGTTTGTCGTGGCTTGTGGTATATCCGTCTTGCGCATCTGTACATCTTGGCTTGCTGTATCATTATTCGATTCCACCGTTCCCCCTTCTCTGGACCCAGGAATTGCCCGAAGGACGCGCCCTGACACCTTCAGCGGGCTTCCACAGTGGAATTGAACGCGTCTTGGTGCACGGTCATGGCCGTGCATGTACTTCGTGCAGATACACAGCCGTTGACATGAAGGCAAGTCAAGCAAACGCCAGCAAAGCCGGCTGCAAAGGGTACCGCTGCATGTCACAGCTGCAT